GATCAGGTTGGTAGTAGACGAAAAAGTTGCTGTTTTAGAAATTTTTGAATTGTTATACCGGAAATGTTAGCGACCTTTTTTAGCGTAGTATTAATATATATGCACATAATATATCGTAACCAACACTTTGAATGGGCGGTTTTCGCTTAGGAGTTCGATAGGATGGTTTATTGGCGTGTGAATTATTTGGAGTCTTTGTCGATCCCTACTGTTAATTACTACCGTACTTAAAATAAATAAGGAATTATCATAGATTTTTTTTAGAAATCTGTTTGAAGGCTGGGCATGGTCCAGTGGTTGACACGCCAACTGGACTCTGCATATCGAAAGATCTAAGATTCGAGCACGCAATATACCATTAAAAACTCTCTATACTTTCAGCTGTGGGTGCGTGTTATAAGTATAGTAGTGTAGGCGGTGGGTATTGGTAACTGGTTACCTATTCTTTGATCAACAGTTCTATATTAGGGATAGTCATGCCTGAATCTTGGGGTTTCTTAACCAAATACGAAATCTAAGCAATGATAAAGTACAATTATGAGTTTCGTTTAGATGACACTTAATTAACCAAAATGAACACTGGAACTTTTTGGATGTGTACCATTTGAGTTTGGTATAATTCTTGGCCAGAATGTTTGGGTAATTAAAAAACAACGACATATAGTTGTTTAAATTTACAAGTTTATCCTCATATTCTTAACTAGGCTTATTTACTTCCATTTCAAGTTGTATACGTGCATTGACTGCTTTATGTAACATCTTTCTCAAGTAGGTAACAAACACTCGTTATGTTAACATTTCTTCCAAGAGAACTAGTACGTGAGACTTAGGCGAGTTACTGCCATCTTAAATCAACACAATAGAGGCCAGTGGCCTTATACGTTGACTGACCTTTGTACTACTAACCGAATTAGCACTTAAACGCTGTTGAACTTAGATGCTTGTCACAAGATTTGTTGGCATTAGCACGCTCCTGTTGTTTTAATCTTGCCCCCCCCCCACCTTTAATACACTGTAATAGTTAACCGTACCCATGTATTCGCTTTGTAGGCAAGGAAGTTGCTTCTTTTAAGCCCTATGCAAACATTTGACGTGCCATCTTTGGTTCAGATATTTACTCTAAGTTTCATAATTCTTCTTATTTAACAACTACGGTACTTTGCTTGGGAATCAAACGGAAATTCTTTCAAATTGTTCAAGAATATATATATATATATAACGTATGTGATTTGGAGTGTTTGTTCCAATGATTTCGGAAAAACCCATTCCTATAGAAAAATGTATATATATTTGGCCTAACCGATTACCAGTCCGGGCGTGGCGTAGTTATTAGCGTGCCCAGA